AGGTCGGCGGGGAGCAGCCCGAGGCGGAGTCCATGGAGACGGCGGCCGAGGAGGAGAGCAAGGAGGGAGGGTGAGGAGCGAGGGGCTTCACAAGAAACCCCCCGGGGTGGGGGGGGAAAGGGTTGCTTTGCCTGGCTGTGGAATTAAGGGGAGGGCTGTTTGGGGCAGGTGTGGTGAATCCCTCGCAGGTGAATCCCCCAGGGTCGGGTGGGGTTCCGTGGGGTCGTGACCGCGTCCCGCCTTGTTCCCAGGGATCAGAAGGCCACGGAGCAGCTGACGAGGACCCTGCGGGGCGTGATGCGCGTGGGGCTCGTGGCCAAAGGCCTCCTGCTCAAGGGGGACCTGGACCTGGAGCTGGTGCTGCTGTGCAAAGACAAACCCACGGCCAAGCTCCTGGAGAAAGTGGCCGACAACCTGGGGGTGCAGCTCGCGGTGAGCGGGGTCGCGCCGGGGTTCCCTCGGGGTCGCTCCGGGGCCCCCGCGTTCCGGCCGGGGAAAAAACCGTTTCCAGAGGTTCTTTGGGGATGGTTAAACCCCAAATGGTTGGGGTTGGAAGGGGCCTCAGGGGCTCATCCCTTCCGCTATCACACCCTTCCACCAGCCCAGGCTGCTCCAAGCCCTGTCCTTGGGCGCTTCCAGGGATGATGAGGCAGCCATTCCCTGCTTCTCTGGGAATCTCCATCCCACCCTCACAGGGATCAGTTCCTTCCCAATATCCCACCTAACCCCACCCTCTGGCAGTGGGAAGCCATTCCCCCTCGTCCTGTCCCTCCAGGCCCTTTTCCAAACCCCCCCACCTTTAGGAGGGGGCTTCAGGCTCCCCCTGGGAAGGGCCTCTCACGTCTTCCCTTCTCCAGCCGAACATCCCCCAATCCCTCCCCTCCTGCCTGCGGACCCCCGGAGTCACGGGATGCTTTGGGGGGTTGGAGGGGGAACCTTAAATGCAATCTGCAGGTCTTTAAGGGAGGGGGTGGGGGGCAGGGAGACACCTGCCCTGGCTCCAGGAGCTGGGCTCCGGCCGGGAAGGGCTGCAGGGACCGTCCCTCGCAGGGAGCGTCCCTCCCCCTGCCCGGGAGCTGAGCGGGGCCGTCGTCCCGCAGGCCATCACCGAGGACAAGTACGAGGTGATCCAGTCGGTGGGCGACGCCGCCATCGTCATCAAGAACACCAAGGAGCCCCCGCTGAGCCTCACCATCCACCTGACGTCGCCCGTGGTGCGGGAGGAGCTGGAGAAGCAGCTGGCCGGAGGTACGGCCGGCGCGGGGCCGGAGCACCGGGAAAGCGTGCTCTTCAGCTTCAGCCCGGAGGAGGAGGAGGAGGAGGAGGAGGAGGAGCCCGTGGCAGCCCCTTGCCGGGCCCCCATCCTGATCCCGATCCCGATCCCGCCGGGATGATTCCTGAGCTCCGCCGGCCTCCTTTACCGGCCCCGGCGGGCGGTTTTATGCGGGCCGAGCTCCCGAAGCTGAGGAGCACCTTTCACGTGGGATTTTGCTCTCTTTTTTTATTTTTTTTATTTCTCTTTTTTTTTTTTTTTTTTTTTTTTTTTTTTTTTTTTTTTTTT